AGTCTGGAACTTCCCTAGGCATTGATTTTACAATGTATTGCCAAGGCGTTGAACCCATTCTCTGGCATGGGGTTCCTCAGAAAATTCTCAGTCCGTTTGCCTATTCTGCTCCACCAAAGATATTCTGTGGTAGTATCATCCTTAGCAATATCGACATAACCAAGCTGCATTCAGATCACTCCTGAAGATCATGCTAAAGAGTGATGGTACTTCTGTGCACGTGGAGAATCTGGCTTGTTAAATAAAAAAGAAAGCTGTTTTTATCTTTCATCTGAAGAAATGGGTATCTTTCAGTTGCTTCACTGAGGTTCTATTAGGCTGTTTGAAATGACACAAAGGAGATATCAGGCCACTACCAAGCCAATTGTTGCAGTCCCAAGGGGCTCTTATTGTCACCCTTCCCTTTGCTTCTCAGCTCTGGCATCAGCTGCCACTTCATTCCTAAGAAGCCTTCTCTCCACTTTTGATGGCAATTAGAATTTGTCCTTCTGCCCTGGTCATGTGCTTCATTTGGTTCGTGGCAATATTTCTCAACCTGAGTAATTTTAAGATGTATGGTCTTCAATTCCCAGAATACTCCAGCCATCATGGTCTATGGGGTTCATCCCTTTCCAGGGGTGACTGCAAAAGAGTGCATGTGAAAAAGTACAGATGGAAGTCACAATTGGGTGATCAAAGCTCGGCTATTTAGATGGGGGTACATTCTGTGATCAGATGCATCATCTTGACACTTTTTTTTTACACGTACTCTCCATAGATGCCCCTCAGGCAGGGAGAGGGCAATTTTATCCTCGTCTTCTCAGCAACCAGCCAGTAAACAAAGAAGGAACTTGTGCAGCTTTCACACCCTACCATGAGACAGCAGCTGCTTCTCATATATTACATTTATTTCTAATCTAGTCATTGTCCTAGTCATATGAACTGATGCTCCAAGTTTCCCACTCTTTTCAGTCCACTGTCTCCAAAGCTTTTCAGTGAGCCAGCTTGTAACTCACCAGGCTTGCCTAGTGCTAAGCTTCCTCTCATTGGTCATGCCTTCTTCTCCTTCTCCTTCTCCTTCTCCTTCTCCTTCTCCTTCTCCTTCTCCTCCTTCCTCCTTCCTCCTTCCTCCTTCTTTCTTCTTTCTTCTTTCTTCTTTCTTCTTCATAGTTGATAGGAGTAAAAGCCCATAGAATCCCTAGTGCAGGTAGTCTTCATTTAAACGACTACCTCGTTTAGTGTCCATTCACAATTCCCCCAATGACAAAAATGTAACTTTGCAACGAATCCTCACATTTAAGACTGTGATGACCCGGAGTGTAACACAAATGTAACAAAATCCAAAACGTAAATAAATGTCCCTTAATGCCTCCAACTTGGACCCATTGTTCAATAATTCTCAGTTGGAGATAAAACGTACTCAAAAATAGTCTTCAAAAGAAAGCAATACAGTCCGAACTTAATGAGCAGATAGGGGTGAAATAAAAAACCCAAACAAACTACAATGACAAAATTTCCACAACGAACCAGGATAAGTAATTACCAAATTCAAGGAGATAAGGCACAGTCTGTTGGAAGGACGCCAACCAAAGCTTCAGCCCAAAATAAAACTTTGCTTCTAGCAACGCTGCGTTGTAATCGTCTCTCTTATATACTAGTCTCCCCAACTGCAACCAATGAGGAGGATCATGGCCGCTTCCTCTCTCGTAAGTCAAGTTGTTGCCTTCTCCGTTCCTCCCTGTGTGTCCTAAGATGCAGAGGGGATGGGCCTGGTTCTTTCTCTCTGCCCAGCTGGCCTCTGCCCTTCCCCAGCCTCCTTCACAACCTCTGGAGCCACACCTCCACTCCCTGTTGGCTGTTCCTCCTCTCCTTCAGAGTCCGACTCTACCAAGGGCATGACAAAGACCTTTGCAGGTCTGCCAACAAAGGAAAGCTGAAGGAAGTGAATGCTTTGTTTAATGACTGAGCTGCTAGTCCCAGTTGTAGCCATTAAACAAGGACTACTGTTCCATCCTTGCCTGTAACTCATGCTTAAGGAGGAAGTAAGAACAAGTAAATTTAATCATTTGTTTACTTGGATCTGGGACTGCCCCACTCAGCAGCCACCAAGCAATGCAAGAAATGTCCAGTTAAGCACAAAACAGCCCTTGCACCATGAGTCGAAAGAGCAGCTGCTCTCTGTGGGTGGGAGGAGGGGTCTGGTTAGGGGGCTGCTCCTCCCCCCCCCCAGGCTTTGTGTTTTGATTCCCTTCTGTATTTTTAAACACAGAGAGAAGACAAATGGTCCTTCCTTGCAAAGGACTAGAAAGCAGAAAGAGGAAGTCAGGGAAACCTAATTAGAGGCAAAAGATTAGGTTTCTCAAAGGCATACAGGATATAATTACTGTAAGATTATTTTTGTGTGTGTGTGAGGAAAGCAAGCATTTTGGGACATTGCCTCCTGACTCTTTTTTTCCTTCAAAATTTTCAAACATACATAATTGATTGATTGTACCCTATGACTATCATTAAGTGTTGTACATTATGATTCTTGATTCTTAACGAATGTACCTTTTCTTTATGTATACTGAGAGTATTTACACCAAGACAAATTCCTTGTGTGTCCAATCACACTTGGCCAATAAAATTGTTCTATTCTATTCTATTCTATTCTATTCTATTCTATTCTATTCTATT